CTCTGAATAGGGTGAAGAATCTGGGTGGCCTCAAACAATTTAATGCTCTTTGGGGAACTCATCGTTCGTGCCTGCAGGTTCCGGTGGCTGAGGGTCTCCCTAGTATGACTTTCCTCTTGTGACTGCCTATCTCAGGGTGGCTGAGTAGGTGTTTCAGTGGGTCTGAAGGCAAAATGGGGTCAATTCCTACTTGAATCTTGGCTTAGAAGGCTTCTTTTGAGTCTGCCTAAAATTCATTTAGTTTTCCTGAGACCCTGGTGTGATGCAGGGGTGAAGCTGCAGGGACTCACCCCAGGTGTCCTTGCTGCCTTCAGCCAGTCCTCCAGCCTGTGGCACAAATGGCAGTAAGGTTTTCTACAAACTTTCACCTTAATGCAAGTAGTATGCTGCTTTTGGAGCAACACTAGATGTTGAGTGTGCCATTTGAATATGCCACCAGATTTCAAGACTGCCCTTATCTCTAGCAGGCGGGTTTTTGAATCAACTCTCTTGTCCATCTAGTAAATGTTACTGCTGTTGTTGGGGGGGAGGCTAGGCTAGTGTAATTATCCTAGCAATTTTCTCGTGAAGATAAGCTTCATTTTTCCACCAATTTTCTCTGCGCTGTGCTGCAATGCTACAAAAAGCATTAGCAGATTAGAGCACAAAGAAGTGTTACTGGTGCTCTACGTCGCCTCTCTTATGTGGAGTTCATAGGAGCTTATACCTAGTTCCTTCAACATGGCATGGCATCAGCACCTGCAGGCAAAATCTGAACTTCCTATACTTGTTGTCATACTAAACGTTTGGGAGGCTATTTACAGAAAACTGTCAGAAAATAGGAGGAAAAGTGTTGGCTTCATGTGAAGATTATAAAACATTTTCACTCTCATGCATGGGCATCCTCTGATAGTAAGGTATGGGATTCAGTCTCACTTTCTTTGTTGCCTCAATTGGAAGAGCATCTATTCCTGCCTATTGGTTCTAATAATGGAAATTCTATGTGTCCATCAGTCCTCCTTCGCAAGACTATCTGCTGCTTGCTGTTTCCCATTAGTTTTGCACAGAGAGGCTGTACAGTAGATGGAAAAGTTTCCTATTATTTGCTTTGCTAGTAGCTTCTTACTCCACTGCTTTAAGAGAATCAAGCAAGTGACCTCAGTTTGCCTCACAGCAATTAATTGTCTTAGGATGATTTGTACATTATTAGCACTAAAACAGTGATATCTTGTAATGTGTTTCAGAGGTATATACTTAACATTGGAAGGATTCTTTTGGGTGCTTGAGCTGGGGGGAGTAGTTTTTTCCTGGAGCCTCTAGTGACAACAGGGGGCTGGCTTCCAAATTTCGGGGGCTGGAGGGAGGCAGGGGGCATTAACCCGTTAGCAGTAAGGGAGAAGCTGGTCTAAACTGTCAAGTAGGAAGCATCCCTGTCTGTGCAAAAGGGTAAGTTCTGTTGTGGTGGGTCCTTGCTTGGTATCATTCTTCTCATGTTTGGGACAGGAATTTCAAAACTGATAGATTTTTCTTTTTAAACCAGTATTGCAACCAAACTGTATGTAAGTGTGATTGTTGATTGAAATGGGTGACAATCAAACTACAGTTGCATGCACAGGTTGTCTGATTAAACATCATGTTCTGCAGTAGTTGTTGTTTCCATATTTGTTAGTTTGCTGTTAGGATTGCTTTAGCTGTTCCTGAACTTTGAAGAGGCAGATGAGATTGCTGACTGTTTGCGCAACATAAGCATCATAATATAACTTTTGTTTTTATAATTGTTTTTCTATTTTCACTGTAAATACAGATGGTAGGACAGAATAAAAAGGAGACGTTCCCATTAGAAAGCAAAGGAGGTGAAACAAGTGATCCTAACAGGGTACAGAGTACATGCTGCGGTTCACTTAAAATATTGTGGTTTCATTCATGACTCTGCCCAAGTTAATAAAACTGAAACTAGTTATAGGTATGCCTAAGCATAACATAGTGTCAAATCAGACCTATGGAGTGCACCCTTCTGCCCTCTGTTCTGCTTACAAGTGTTGGGTGAAGTGTTGTACAAATAGCTTTTTGTGAACACTATCAAGTTCCCTCCCCCTAACTTTTCTTTTTCTCATGTAAGAATCCTAAAGTGTACCTTGAGTTTGTTAGAAAAACTTCAGATGTTTGTTCCAAAAAGTCTATTTAATGGATAAAAACTTCCCTCCTCTCTTCACTTTTTCCACTGCTATGTGTTGAAGCAGTAGGCCATGTGGACCTGTTCTGTTATGAAGTCACTTCTACAGACATGAAATGTGTCCCGTCCCCCCCCCCTTTTTTTTTTAAACTCACTGAAAGCCAATGTCTATTTAGTTACCTGAAACAGTTTTTATAGAATGTGTCTGGTTACCAGAAGACAGCTTGAAAAAGAGATTGCATGTGTTAAAGCTTTTTCATGTTACAGGAAGAGAGGTAAAATGATTCTGCGTATCTCTGCCCGTCTTTCTGCCTTTGCAGTGTACCTCTTGTTGATTTGCTAGACAGCACGGAGTTGCCAGAAACTTGTGTTGATGACACCATAGGACGTCCAGTTGCTGGCTTGGCAACAGGAGATTCAGAAGAGGCTGTTAGTTGCCCTCATCCTGGCACAAAGGAAACTGCTGCTGAAAAAGCAGACTCTGATCGTAAGCGAACTTAAAGATTTTTCCCTATTATCATGACATGTGGGGTCAAAGTTAACTGATTAGGTTGTTATGAGGTTGATTCCTTAGAAAAATCCAAGTGTTTTAGAAAGCTCCCTTAGATTATATGCATAAGGACAGTTTTACTCACCACGGGGACAACAAAGTCAGTCAGCTCTCCCAGTTTCAGCTGGAAGCAGCTTACTTCCAAGGACAGAAGTACAAGGGAAAAGTCACGGTTCTTCACGGTATCTGACTTTAGGCACAAATACAGTGAAGTGAAGTGCAACCATCTGAGCAATTAACTCTTGCTGCTTGCTCGTTCACTGTGAGGATGGCTGGGTAAATGAACTTGCAGGAGCGCAGAGTGTGTGGTTAGGTACGTACAGTCTGTGGGCTTGAAAGTTGCATTGATAGTTGAGCAAGTAGCTTCCCCCATCCCTGCGCTTTTTTCCATAACTTTAAAACCATATAACTAGTGTTCGGGAAGAATGCAAGTTACAAGTCAAATAACTCCACAGTTACATTAGGATGATGATATGTTTTCTGTCTTTTTCAGCATTTGAAGACACGTTCCTAAAACTGAAACAGCTGGAGGCAGAGCGCAGCAGCCCCGTGCCAACTGAGCGTCCCAATGTAAACATAAATGTACAGGTACCTGGGCTTCATTCCTCCTAGCAGAGTCGCTGAGTTTTGTTCAGATCATTCTGAAAAGTCTTCCACTTCCCTTGGGCCATTTGCAAGATTTTTAAGAATATGCGTGAGTAATATTGGGGGATAGCAAAGGGAATACAAATGCTTTGTTATATATAAACATGTGTGACAGGGCAGTGAGATAAAGATGGGGGGGAAAAGGTGCATGTGCATGTATGCAGGCTGCGGCCTGGTGAAATTTTCTAAAATCAATGGGAGTGAAAGTCATAAACGCTTGAAATCTTCCTTAGTTGTCTTCATCTGTAGGTTACTAAGTGTACGGTGTTGTATAGTTCACCTTCTTTTTTGAGGGGGTGAGCTGCTTTCCTGGTGTTTTTCAGTTGCCTTTGGTGACCCTCCCAGAATGCTGTTTTGACATTTTGTTTTGAGTCAAGTTTGCTAGTGATCTGTCCCTCCTGTTAAGCAACCAGTTTTTACCTGCTCTCTGACGTAGGTGTTAGTGCTCTGTGTGTTTACACAGAGAGGAGTGATGTGATTTGATTTAGCACTCTCATAAATCCTTTTGAGCAAGTCAGGCTGCATTTCCACGGGCAGCTGAGCCGAAGTACAAGCTTCAGTGCCCTGAACAGGCGAGGGCTCTCTTCTCCTTTGCTCCTCTTTGTGCTTCTTTCCCCAGCTTCTTTCTCTCCTCTGTCACCTCCAGGAGTCATTGCATGTTTCGGTGAACCAATGTAGCGTACAAAATGGCAAACAAAAAATTTTTTGCCTTTTTTGTTTTGAACTTTTTGTTAAGGCATTGGGTTTTTAAGTTGTTAAATAGCAAGTTAAATAGGTTCATGGAAGGGGTCAAAGAAATACCAGAGCCACGGTGAAAATAAGTAGTGTTGCTAGAAGGGATGGAGAGGACAGGATCCTCCCTTACAACAGCAGTGAACTTTCATAGATTCATCAGTTATCAGACAACTGCACCCATGCAGGATATTATTCTGTTTTTTTAATGAGCTTTAAAAAATTTGGAATTTAGATTTCCCTTACTCTGCTTCCCCTGGTGTTAAAGCTTTAGGTGCTTTATTGTATTTTGAACCAGCAGAGAGAGTAAAACACCTGGCAGTATTATCTGTTTGTACTACCCTCCCTTGCAGGGAGGCCTGAGGATTTATCTAGCTTTCAGTGAAGCAGCTATGATTTTTCTTGCTCCTTCAATACTAAAATGAATCAGGTGCCAAGAGAGGTGTTTAGTGGTATGTGCTCAGGCTAAGCCCATTCCTGAGCATTTCTTCCCTCACTCCGTGTGAGAGAAGGCTGCTGCTTTGGTATGCTTGGTGCTGCAGGCTGTTTGGCTCATGTCCCCTTTAAGGACTGCTATCAGGGATGCCTTGTGCACCTCTCTGCTTGGTGAGTGCATTACAAAGATTAACAAGTCTCTAAGAAGATTAATCAGTAGCCTAAAGGTCCTGTTATGCCGAAATGATGCCTCTGCATAAACTAAAGCAAATGAACAGAGTTTATTTCAGAGTATTTTTGCCTGTTGAGCTCCATTTTAGTTCAGACAGAGAGGGGAAAAAACATTTAATTGGTTAAATGGAGAGAATGGAGCAAAAGTGTCTTAGTGTTTTTTAAATTGTGGCTGATATATAGTAAGCAAGATAAGATTCCTGTAATCTAACAAACAGTTGCCAATACAGTACAGTCACAGTTACCCAGCTGCTGTCATATGAGGCGCCGAGTAACTTTGGATATTAGGGGCTGCAGATACTGGGGTGATAGTAACCTGATTAGAGAGCCAGAACATTTGCATAACGGAGAAGTACGTGATGTGTATGCCAATATGATTCTTTCTTTGGGTAAAAGAGACTTCAGCTTTCAAGAAGGAAGTGCAAATTGTATTACGTAAGAGTAGATCATCAGTGGTTTTCCTCGGGTAGAAAAGATTGAATAAAGCTTTTCAGCCTGTGATGTAGCTTACCAAGAGGCCACTTGAGAGTGTTTGTTTAGAAAGGTAGACAAAGATTAGAGACTGTCTCTATATGTTAGATTCTGTGTGCTTCAAACTGCAAAGACAGGTAGGTTACAGTAGCACTAAATGAGCACACCCAGTTGTGATTAGAGTTGAAGGCTGATGGTTTGGAAATGAGTCCTGAAAAGAGTGACCTAAGAATAACTATTAAAAACACTTTGTTTCCTGCTTTTGAAGGCTGCTTTAGAAAAAACATAAATTTCCACTTACAGTGTTTGTTACAAAATGTAACTATTGGCTCTCCTCCTGCACTTATTTCTTAATCTATTTGTAAAAGAGGTGTTTATGGCATCTTCTTCTGACTGAACTGAATGGGACTGCAATATATCCACTAAAACCTTGCAATGAGCTTAGATCCTGGAGCTTGCTGTTACTTCAGATGAACGCAGTGTTACAGTGTTCTCTCTGAAAGTGCATGATTAGAAATTTCAGCATGTCTAACCTCCCTTAAGTTTTACCAGTGGGTAAGATACCTACCTATATAGAAACAGTTACAGCACGTAAAAGGTTTGGTGAAATGCGTTGGGGGAAAGCATTGGCTTTCTGCTAATGAAGGCAGAGCTGCATCCTGAACTTCATAAGTGATGCTATCAAATGCCAATGAACTGCTCACTTCAGCTTTGTTAATTAAAAATCTTTATTTTCCATCAGGGGGTCAGAGATGGTCTTACAATCATCTTTACATAATTCTGTACTTGCAGTCAACCAATCTTGATTGATTTCTTTGATAGGGAAATATTTATCTAGCTATACGTGTTCTTTAGAGAAAGAGAGAAATCTTTCCAGAATGAGAACTGGAAAGGGGAAAATGAATGGCTTCATTCTTCACTGCTGCTCCCTGCCAAAATCTGTTGGGATGGAAGAATGTGACTTTGTCCTTTCCCAGCTTTCACTAGCACAGTGACCAGATCTGACAAAAGAGAGCAAATAGCTCTTAAATACACCGACGCTCCGCTTTCATCAGCTTCTGAAGTGAAATGAACAATAAAAGGTTGACCCTGTTTGCCTGTGTTTGAAGTCTGCTCCAGAGTCAGAGATGCAAGGACATGAGGGTTTTCTTTTTCTGATTTCGTTGGGATCTGTAAACACGTGGAACTTGCTCCAGAATGTGCCTGTATGAGACTCCATCTCCCTGCACAAAGTGATTTTTCAGTGGCACCAGGAACGCTGCTCAGAAGCACAAAGGACAGGGATCGCACGCCCTTGCTGCTGCCTTTAATCTTTCCTTCCCTTTTTACATCGCTGCCTAGTTCCATATTTTGATTGAAGAACAGAGTACAAATATAGTTTGTCTAGTACATGGAAACAATAAAAATTCGTAACGAGCTAGAATATTGACAAACCCCGGCAGCTTTACTGTTTTATGTGAACAACTGAAATGTCTTGCAAATTAGACATCTTGAGGCGTTATCAGGTGCCAAATGCTTTCCCCTCTTAGCTACATGTTCTTTCTATTTAAAAAAAAAAAAAAAAAAAACAGCAGTAAACCCAATGCTTTTTTCAAGCACAAAAGAGAAAAAAGATCGAGAAAAATGTACCTTTAGCATTGATGGAAATATTTCCTTGGTGGTATAGAACTTATACTTGATTACATTAACATAATTCTTAATAGTACTAAACTTTTCAAAAGTTGGGAACCTAATCGCTAAAAGACTAGAGTGAGCTAATTAAACTGGTTGTTCAGGTGGAGGAAGCTGAGAGCAAGTTAAACCACATAGTGGTGCTTAAAGCACCACTGTACTGATGTGCTCAGTTAAAGTAATCAAATTTACTATATCACTGGTACTGGAATAATGCCTTAGAAATTCCGTGCAGGCGCTGTTATATACAGCATCTGGTTCAGTGAGGTCCAGTGTAAGGATTTAAGGCTAATCACAGTTGGGTACTGCAACTGTACAAATAATAATAATAATTTAGTTTTAATTATTACAGACTTTGGCAATTCCAGCAGCTTCTCTAAAATAAAAACACTTAAATGTTTAATAATTGTTTTGTTAGTCTTCGTGAATTATGTGAATGTGCAGCTCTTAATATCTGCTAGCAGTAGTCATGAGCAGCGCTGGTTGTTGGTCCTCATACCTTTCTACGTTGACAGTGACCCTTGAATATTTTGCAAAGTTCATTGCTGACTGGGGTCAAAATTTTAAAATGGGTTCTCCTTTAGATAATCTCGTAAGTTCGTATTTGTATACCCCAAAAGGTGATTTAGAGGGAGACAAGAAAAGGAAATGTTTTTCCCCTCTCTAAAGGCCAAATACCTAGAAGCTCTCACTAGCGTTTCCAGTGAATGAAAAAAGCTAAAAGTGGATGGAGAGCTGTGTGGGGGACAGGTATTCACCTCTTTTAACACCAGTCCCGTGCTGTGTCTCTGTGCAGTGGGCTTCATTCCTTCTGGGCACGCTGCAGTTCGTGCAAGCAGGATTGTCCCTGCTCTGGGGCGCGTTGTGGGAATGCAGCCCTGGCCTCCAGGGAAGAGCCTGCCTTAGCCAGCGGCCGAGGCGTATGGCGAAGCTAAAAGCGGATGGAGAGCTGTGTGGGGGACAGGTATTCACCTCTTAACACCTCTCCCGTGCTGTGTCTCTGTGCAGTGGGCTTCATTCCTTCTGGGCACGCTGCAGTTCGTGCAAGCAGGATTGTCCCTGCTCTGGGGCGCGTTGTGGGAATGCAGCCCTGGCCTCCAGGGAAGAGCCTGCCTTAGCCAGCGGCCGAGGCGTATGGCGAGGCGTATGGCGAGGCAGGCAGGGCTCTGTCTCCCCCTGCTGAGTCATACCCCGAGAGGAAAGGTTGCAAAGTTTAGTTTCCACTCAGTTAATTAACTTCTGTCCCTAATCAAATAGCAATTATATGCTTAATTAACATTTTATAATTAAGAAATGCAATTCACGTAATGAAATATACTGTAGTGCAAGGTATCTCATTTTTAATTGTCTTCGTTACGTATCTGGCTGCCCGTTTGCTCTGATCTCCTGGTGATGGGAGAGGTAGCTGATAGCACATTAAACTTGTTCTAATTTGTAAGTGGATTTTAAGGTAAGAATCTGCCCAACTTGCATTTGAGAGTAAATTATCAACTTATAGTTAGGCTATACTGGTATGATACAATACACTATGATGGCTGCTATATTGATCTCCTAGCAGTAAACTAGGGTACAAATTTAGGCTCCACTTCAGTTCTTGCATGCTGTATTTTTAGCACAGCACTTTGCACCTTTACTTTGCGTTTTGCTGTGACTTTACAACCAAGTTCCAAAATAAAGGAAAAAATTGCTTTTTCATTTCAGTATAAATCTGCTGACTTTCCTCTCACTTGGAGCCTTGTTATTTGGAGACGTTAGTAAACTTCAGCCCAGACTTTTCCGTGTGGGAGCTGCTTCTAATAAAGATTTTTTTTCATGTCTAGGATGAAGTGGTAAAGTTGACAGATAAATGTCTTAACAATGCAATTGAGAGCCCCATCATAGCAGCAACGTGGCTTCCAGCAGATATCAAAAGCAATATCCTGAAGGCCCACGCAGAAGCAGGGCACAAGGTAAATACACAGCCGATAAGGACTGTGACATTCTCACAAGTTTTTATTTCTCTTCAATTGCTTGGTGTTGGAGAAGGTGCCTTGCAGATAAGGATGCTCCGAGAGCCAAAGTCCAAGGTAGAGTAAGAGAGCCTTTCTTCACAGTAATATCGGTCAGGTACTGGAACCGTTGCCCAAGGAGGAATCTCCATCCTTGATGATACTCAACATGTAGGTGGACAAGGCCCTGAACAAGCCCTGGTTTGAGTGGTTATTGAGCCAGATAACCTCCAAAGGTCGCCTTCTAACCCAAGAAATTATTCTGGGATTCTGTGACTAAGACTATGCTTCTAGCATGTTCTAGTAAATTCTGTAGCAAATAGTGGTATTTTATTTGGCTACGTTGGTGAATTATTTTTATTTTTGCACTGAAGTTTTCACATAGAATTGATGTTTTAAGTCCCTGAGCAGTAGATGAACAGCACACTTTCGTGCTGGGAGGGAGGCACTTGGCTCTTCTCTGAATCTCAGAACTGACACAAGATACCAGAACTGACACAGGTATCAGAAATTTATATCTTTGTTCATTTTTTCCTCTCAGGTTGTAAGAGAAGACAGCCTGACAGGTGTCAAGAATTCCAATATTCAGGATGCTGCTGCCAGGTATTGAACAGATTTGGAAGAAACACATGATCTAGTTCCCAAGTACAGCACTGAGAACCTGCAGTTCAGTGTGGTCTTTCAGTGCCTCAGTGATCACTGTGTTTTGCCTTGCATAGTGTAACTTAACCTGGTGAGTGTGAAGTGTTTTTAAAATGAAAAGCAGCAAGCGCTATAGTTGCTAAGTTTTATCATATACAGTATGATAAAATACATATACAACTATATCTTTATTCTCCCATACTTTAATTTCATGAACATTGTTCCAACAGCAGCTTCAATCACTATAGTTACTTCTGACCCGTGAACAACTTCAGTGTGGGAAGAGAGGATGGGTCTGTTTTCTAGTAGCTGTTTTCTAGTGGAAAAAAAAAAAAAAATAGTGTACAAAAATCTGACACTGACAGTTGATTTCCCAAGAGTTACTGAATCTCAAATGATTGCTAGTTCCAGTGGGATTTCAGGCATTGAAAAAGTTAAAGGGTTACAACATGCAATTTCTTGACCATTTATGAAGATGAGCATGTGTCAGACCTCAAAGAGCGTATGGGGATGTTGAATAAAATGTACGCCTACCAATCTCAAAAAATATGCTGTAACAAGCAATTCCTTTCTGTGGAAGGTTGTATCTGATTTTGTTTTGTTTTGTTGTTTTGTGCCAGGAACATTCTCCTGTCAGGCAAAACACAGAGTAGTCCCCCAGCAACCAGTCCAGTATTTCAAGACCCAGGAGAGCTGCTGAAAGCAACCCCTGCCTTGAACACCTTTGTTCTGTAAGTGATTCAGGAGAAACAGGTTTCTGGGGCAAGGGAACCACATGGAGATTATCATGAACAGGTCTGAAAGGATGAGGAAGAGTTGCTGCGCATTTAGGCTACATCTAACTAGGCAGGTTTACCAATGCATCTTTAATTACTGTTACAACAGCTAATCAGTGTAGGCCAGGCCTCAGGGTGAGTATCCTAGCAAGCAGTAAGCGAATCTCTCTCATCTTCTGAAATGACTGAAATATCCGAGATCCTGCTGCCCCTGGCTCTAAAGAGGAGGATAAGAGGATGGCAGGGAAGGCTTCAGGTGAGTTAGAAACAAGGGCTGAAGAAGCTCCTTTGCGATAGAAGACATTGATATTGTTGGATCTATACACAGCTGTAGCTGAAACTATGAAAGAGCAGTAATCTGCAGATGTAGTTGGAAGGTATTTACTTCAACATACTCACAAATGCCAGTCTTTTGTCTGCCTCACATGGAACTGGTGTTGAGTTTTTGGGTTGAGCTATCAGGGAAGCAGCACTGTTTCATGCTATCCAAGCAGTGTGCTGATGAGAATGTTTTCTCCTTTCAGTAATGCGTTAAATGAGGACAATGCTGCCTCTAACCATGAGGACCTGCTGATTCCAGCTAGTCTGGCTCCAGCTGAGGAGGCTGCTGTTTCAAAGGTATCACCACCTGCCAGCCTGGAAGGTTTCTGTGTGTCACGTTCTGAGCTACCGATGCCTCCAGGCAAGCACAGCAGACCTTGCTGCATGCCTCTCATAACTCAATGAATGCCAGTCCTTGGTGAATGCCAAAGAGTGCTTTCTGGAGCAGATGGGGACACTGTGCAGATCTCTCTGTACAGTGAGAGGCCATTTCTGAGTGTCCTTTCAGGTTCTTTGCCTTATTTTTCTAAACTGATTGCTTTCCTCACAATGGTGGGGAGCCTCTTATATCCCAGTGATTTGGTGCTCCAGGAAAGAGACTGCAGGGGTGAAATTCTGACATAGGCAATTCCTAGCAAAATAACCACAGAGGGAAAAGTTTAAATTGAAATGTTTAATTGTATTCTGGTTACCTTAAAGATAAGCTAATTTTTAACTGGAGTCCATGAAGTGCACATAGTAATTTGGGGGTCAATTTTCCTTCGTCCCTCTCCAAAAGAAAAAGGGAGTTCAACACTGGACTCTGCTGTTCATTCAGCAGACTGAGGGGTTATTCTGGATCACTAAAGCACTGTGCCCTTTAGCTTTTATTCCTCTAAACAAGTATTATGTAGCTGATCCCACTGAATAATTACCAATTTCATCTGAGTTCAAATGCTCAGCTCACAGACCTCGCTGACCTTGTTGTCGAATGGCGCAGTACCCTATCTTTGCATAGGAGAATGGGACAGTTTCACAGCTTACATGGCCACGACATTGTTTCCAGTATGTTGATGACAGTAAGTGAAATGAAAAGGCTAGTAAAAAAGATCATATGGAAAGATTTGAGAAAATAGACCTGATAAGCAGTGGTGTGCAAGAAGGACGCTGGTCTATAACTTGGGAAGCCACTAGAGTATTCAGCAGACCTGTCTGGTTACTACTAGGAATTCAATTCAAAACTGATTTATTCCATAGAGCACTCCAGATGACCAGGACGTTTCCTTAACATCATTGACAGAGAATCTAATTGACTTTACAGAAGCCACACCTCGGGTAACTGTATTTCAAAACTAAACTTCTTCCTTCACATGTACAGTGGTTTTTACTCATAAACTGTCTTCTGGCTTTAGTATCTGTGTGCCAGGCTTGGATCTGCTGCAGCAGTGAAGTGGTGGTTGACCTGGATCACTGCATATGTGTCCCCCTACTTGAAGGGTGGCTGGCCTAGGGTTGTAGACCCTACAGCTTTGTAACGGAAGTGGAAGAACCTGAAGAGTTAACTTGTGTCTGTGCCACAAGTGCCTGTAGGCTTATTTTAGTACACCTGCAAGTGCCAGCCTGCTTCTCAGGCTTTTGGGTATATATAATACTTCAGAAATTATATGTAAATGTGTATATACACACACAGACATATATATCTGTATTTATATATAAAAAATAAATACTTGAAAAGTAAACTTTTAATACAAATCAACACTTTTATATAGATAAAAAACCTCTTATAATCTGTGCCAGTGAAAAAGGAGTTGTGCTGCGTGCACCAAAAAAAAGGGGAAGGAGTAGGACCTTTAAATTGTTCACAGAAGCGTGCTCTCTCTTAACTTTGTCCACAAAGCAGGAAAAAATAATGGGTTCAGTTGCTTTGTGGAAGGGAGAGCTATGCTGAAACTGCTATCAGTGACTTTCTGTGAGCGAGCGGGCATTAGCTGCATGCTGTATGGGTGCCATTTACCTTTTGGTGTGAAGTCACATCATCTGTAGCTAATCACTAGCATGGTACAAAGACTAGCAATGGACAAATATCCAAGATTGTCTGGGGAGGCAGGATTGTTTTGGGAGGCAACATTGTTTTGAGAATGTTCTCAGCTACTTCCAATCTTTTCTAATGAGCATTTGTTTGCTTTTTGTAGGTGTCTTCCCAGCCCATGATAACCCCGAGGTGGATAGTGCCAGTGAGTTACTTGACCATTCCTTAACAACAACAAAAAAAGACAAAAAGAAAGCTTTTGTCATGATTAAGAAACAGGAGCTCAAGTAAAATAGTAAAATAAAATAGTAAAATGTAGTAGCTTGTAATAAATTGAAAGCCCATAAAATAATGTACCAGACCAAAAATAAAGCAAACTAATTCAGCTGGAGTACATAAAACAACATACGTATCCTGTTAATATTTTAGACTTCATTCTTGCTGCGTTACATTGTGGGTAAAGGCCATAAAGTTTCTGTAAGAACTTGCATTTAGTGAGGCCCACCCTGGAACTTGATGAATTTTAGTTTTTACTGTTATAAATAAATCATATCGAAAGATTAGTTTGTCTTGTCCTGGCAGGTTTTTATTTCAGTTTCCTGTTTCATTCTCCCCAACTCAGACTGGACTGATTTCCAATGGGCCTTTGGGAAGTGATGTTGCCTTAGCTATGAAGGCCGTGAAAGGCAGCATGGAGACTCTGTTGTCACCAGCTGGACTGCCACCACCCCAGCAGGCATCCGAAGTCCTTGCAAGGTAAGGTCTCCTCAGCACTCCCTTCAGGAGTCTGCATGGGGTGGAAAGGAAGTATGTGCTCTTACTACTTTCACTTAAATAGTTACGGTGGTCATTTAGACACGGTGCCTTGTTTTGCTGTGCTTATAAACTATAGTTCTGTCTCACATTATAGCATTTGAAATCTTATAAATAGGGCAGCTGATATGTGTACATTTTTATATAACATTGTTTGAAGGGTGAGAAAACCTTTTTTTTTAAATTCAAGTAAGTAAAGGAAAAAAGCATACAAATTTAGCTGGAGTTGGAGGTAAACTTGTTGTCATTGTAAGTGCTATAAAATCGGTTAATTCTTTTTAATTATCATTTCACTTCAGTTTCTTTCCTTATCTGCTAACATGTTTTCGTACTGGACTAAAACTACGGTACAGATGAATTTTCTGAGAAATCTCTTTTAAGTGTTTCAACACCTGTCAGAGGATTGGCAGGGGGGTCGGGGGGGGGTGCCCCCCAGTTACTCCCAAGCTGTAAGGAAGTCAGAGAACACAATCTGTAGAAACCTTTCCCCTTGCTATGCCATTCTGCCATGCTGGCAAGGCAGAATGATGGCAGTGATGATCAGGCCTTTCAGTGAACCTCTTACAACGCTGATGCGAATGGCAATGATGCTATCGCTGCACTGTGTAAAACTGATTGTTTGCTCATCTGCAGTTGTCCATTGGAAAGGTTTGTCCATTGGTCTCATTAAATTACGAGGGGAACAGCTGTTAACGCTCTTTGGAACAATCCTTTTCTTTTTTTAATCCATCATGGCAGATCTTTTTGAAGGAGTGTATTTACAGGGCTTCATTTTTTTTTTTCTCTCCTTTTTAGCCCAGTTACTGAGGATGCTACAATAAGAATGAAATGTTTACTCACCACTGAACTGTAGAAGGAGGAGTTTCTGCACTTCCCACCATGTAAAAACTCAAATCTTCTAATATATCTCCAAGGGATCCTTCCAAAAGACTCGCCTGGGATCAGACTCTTGCTGAACGGGAGTCAAACAGCCAGCTGGTTTGCTAGGATCCAGGAAGAGAACTTCTACATTTATTGCAGTCTAACTGGAATTACAGTTTAAACCAGGATATAAAACCACATGCACATTTGATCTTCTCCCTTAGGGGGAGTGAAATACCACACTGGAGCTAGTTTGGAACGTGAGGAACAGAATCTAGTCATGTTCTGCTCACGCTAGGTTTAGTCCTACTTACCCTGTGCTGCCTCTCCAGTGTTAACGGAGAGCGTTCACGGTGATGTTAGCTGTGTAGTGTGTGAGCAGGCTCTCCCTGACCTCTGCAGGGTAATATTGGCAAGCTTAGGAGAACTCGTAGGGCCACCTTGTGGCCCTGCGATGTACAGTGGCTCACGCAGCGATGACTTTCATGTGGCCAAGGACATTTTCTTCTGTGTGATTATTCCCTCTGTTTTTCCTTTGTTTTACTAACACATGCTCTCCTTTTTGGCCTTAAACCCCTTAATAATCCTTGCACCTCTTGTTACAGTACCTGGAAAGAATGAAAATCCAGTCCATCAGTGACCAACTGTGTTGAGTGGATTTGAGCTGCTTGTCCTAACCAGGAAAAGGAACATTAACCTGCCAAACAGCTTATAGCATTAGCAGACTACAGGAGAGGTCCCGCATTTTGACACTGATGATTTCATTTCCTGTATGACTCAAATACATGCATTTTAGGCTAGAGATATGTATGTTTTAAATGCTGAAGCAGTGAAGGTGTGAGTACAGCTTACTTCAGGAACTGCTTATTGGTTAGTTTTGTTGTCAGATAGGACTAGGAAGGAAAAGAATTTTCTTGTTTCTGTTCATACTATTTCTGGGTGGTGTTTCCAGATGCTGTGCTTTGGGAATACTTACCAGGTATGTTAGCGGCGTGAGGGTAGAACTAGATCAGTTCTTAACACCACCACGAATCCTGTTCCAAGTGTCATCTAATAGCTGTGTGTGGAACAAAGAACAGAAAGAATAAGGGGAAAAAAAGATGAAAAGTTTCTGTAAGCAGTTCACTTCTCTGTAGAAGGAAGATAGGAGCACTTGCAAGAGCACGCTCCACGGAGCTGGTGAAGGCCTTTTGGTGCTCAGGTGAAGTACAGGATACAGCACGTAAGAGATCATGAGTCCTGGGCAGCAGGATCCTCATGTGGACGTGTAAAGGTGAGCACGTGGACCCTGGGGATACAGCCTGTGAAAAAGATCAATGCAGAGTCAGAGGGAGAATAGAGAAGCCCGATGATGAACTCCACATCTCCTAACGGGAGCACAGATGAAACAAGCAGGATCTTTCTTTCTTAGGAAGAGGTTTGTACATATGACTGGGGTTGGAGGATGTTTTCTGCATAGCACTGCTGTTTGTAAATATTTATATACATGTGGTTCTTAGAAACACTTTTAAATGTGAAAGTCGATCCTGAAACCTGTATGCCCAACTTCATTTCTGCACACCACCTGCGTGCACGTGTCTCAGTGTAGACAAAGATTTGGACCAAACCCCTGTGGGTTGTGCAAGTAAGCTGGTACCCGGGTAGGCTCCTTCTGTTCAGACTGGGGTGTTCTTACTGCTGCTCTTGTGCTCTTGGTTGCAAGATGCTGAATGAGAGTGTTAAGGAAGAAGCCACAAGGCATTTACCTGGCCCACTGCCACTCCTCAAAACCCCCGAGGCCTTAATAGAGAAACATAGAAACCATGGGGAGCTCTTAGGACCGAGACACCAGGGTGAGTCTCTGCAGACAATGATTTGCAGCCATTGTTTCAAGAACCGGGAGTCAAAATTGGTGGCAGGCACTTCAGGTCCCCCCTCCAGCCAGCACCTAAAGCGCTGTGGGGGCAGGCTCCCCTCTCCCCCCGCTGCCAGCCAGAGGGGAGCTGCTGTTCTGGACTAGGTGGAGAGTTTCTGCTTGCCAGCCATTCAGCTCCATCGTCGTTACTTCCAGTTGAGTATTGGCTTCTTGGTTTTTTAGTACTTTAAAGTCTGAGCCTTATTCCATATTAAAATGTAGAAGGTTCTCGATTCAAATATCAAATGTCTTAGTCTGGATTAATAATACAGTTGCCAGCAAAGTTCCTGCAGGAAAAGGGAAGCTATCGCTGCAACAGCCTGCTTCCTGCACAAAGCCAGGACTGTGTGGGGAAACTTGGCGCTTGCTGTTGATCTGTTTGCTCAGCAGCTGAGCTGGCGTTCACCAGCTACATGTGTTGGTTTTGTAAATAGACAGAATGCAGTAGCATTTTCTTTAAGGCACGTTTGATATTTGACTCTTCCCATTGGGTTCAGGAGCTCTGCGAACTGTTAGCTTGAATCCCTCCCAAAAGTAGAATAACAAGTTACAGTTTTACAGCATTGCGTGTTGAATACCATCCTTGGATTCCTCCCGAGCAATCACATACAGCAAATAGCAAGTAAATAACATGTGCGGTGAGTGCATCTCCCTAAAATCTAAATGGTTCCACTTAGCCAACTGTTATTTCAGCGTGGTTGGGATAGTGGTGCTCAGAGGGAAATGTTGTATTTACACACATGTGCGCACACAGGAGAATTTCAAAGGGGCAAGGTTTTCCTCAATTTTCAGAGGACTAATACTTGAAACTTTATTTAAAAATTCAAAATTTTCAACTGTTAAATTGGGGACTTGCAATTTCTAGTAGATTTGGGGCAGCAAACCCAACTCTTTCCAGTGACGTTTAACACATGGAGCAAATATTTACTCCATGTAACTGAACGTAGCTTATTTAGCTATTCCAAATTGTTGCTTATATAGGGAGCCTGGCGAGACTAAGGTGCCACAGTTATGCGATCTGAACAGACACATAGGTAGGTATCTGAACATCCTGTAGTTTTGCATCACTGTTTTGCTTTAAAACTATAGGTATCATGTATCATGACTGGCTAACAGGTAACGTAGCGTTACTCATCACCTGCATTTTATCAAACACAAATAGGTATAATAGTTCCTACAGTTAGTGTTATAAATTATTAATTAATGCTTGTGTGACACTGAGAAAAAGGGATTTTCTTACCATTGCTATGCTATTGATTGATTGACTGTAAGGTCCAATCATCCTCTAAAAGTGGGTTTGTTTTTTTTTTTTCCACATTTATTTAAAGAGTTTATAAATAAAACTGTTGTGTGAATCTGGTGTTGGGATGCTGGCAGGTCTGCCAACCACTTAAAAGCTGTAAGAGTTGACAGGACTGAATAAATGTATGTTCTGTTGCAGTCATTTGGAAAAAGCCAGGTCCCTGATTTAAAAAAAAAAAAAAAAGTTCCAAATTTTTTTCCTAACAAAGTTATTCCCTATTGACTTACTAATGCCTGTCCTCGTTAACTGGCCTTGTACCCTTTTGCTATGTGTGCGTGGAATGCTGATCAGAGATGGAGGCTTTTTAACTCTGTAATTAAAAAATGATTAACTTACACTAAAAATGTGATTGGATCTGAAAGTAAAAGTGATTTTATTCCAGTCACACTCTGTAAGTGATTGGAGTAAAAGATTTTATAGAAATCTTAACATTTATATTAAGAAACAAAACCCAGCCCATATCTCAAACTGATTAATCTTAGGGAGATGCTGGATCTTAGAAGTGCGTTTCAGTCTCACCATTTAGTCCGACAGGACGAGACCAGAGAGGTGGCTTGTGCCCACTACACGGCAATGGTCTCACAAGCTTTTGAAATGGGTATTAAAATGTGGGAGTTCAGGCCCCCTTACACTTGAATTAAGGGAACCTATTCTTTACTTCAGCAGTAATGGGTGTAATATTAGGTAAGTCATATGACATAAAATAACTACTTACCTGGTAGTCAGTCATGGTTAATGAATTAGCTTGAATATATTCGATTTTAAACTTAAATTCCACATGTACTTTGTCAAAGACAGACAGTGGCGTAAAAGCTATGTTTTGGACAATTTTTTGGACACAAGGACACAACTTTGGCAAGAAAATTTGCAGCACCATTACGAGGAGCTCAGGTGAGCAGTCCAGTAACATTTGGGTCTCTTTCCACAAACTATTTTCAGCCCTCGCCTGTTATCCCGTTGTCTGCTCCTTGCTTGTTCTCGTTTCTTGAAGCAAAGGTATACTGTTAGGATCAGCCTGTCCTTCACAGACAGCACTAGATATATTTTTCACATTGTGAACATACTCTGGTACAACCCAAATCTTCTACAGGTTAAGTGTTAGCAGCTCTTATTTCACGGCCAGCTAGCATTTAAAGCTCTATCTGGGCACATAGAGTGTTAGTCTAGGAAGTTGTAGTAAAGTTATATAGCTGTTAGGCATGGTAACAGCACAGCTTTCAAATGCAGCTGGACAATCATAACTTTTATACCAAAAAATAAAAATAATCCATGCTAGTGGCCTTTCAGTGATGCAGGCATAATCTGGGCATGTTTGGCCTGAGGGTTAGCACCATGGGCGTAAATCCAGGGCCCTCCCCACCGCCCTGAAATGGAGGCAGGGTTGGTGTGACCGCACGAAGTGCTGCGCTGCCGTGCCACAGCATTTGGGAGGGGCACCCGGGCGGTCGGCACGGCCTGCTGAAAGCCAGGCTCCGTCACCCAGCTTCGCGCGTGGTTGCATGCACCTGCTGGACGTGGGCAGCGAGTGCTCGCCCTGCAGTCGCGGCAGGGAGCCGCAAGGCTCTCCTACGAACTTCGCCTCCTTTGTACTGTTTGGCTTGAGCACTCTGCTTCATAAACACACACCCCTCCACCTACAACTGGACAAACTTAAAGTATGTAAGAATATTTTTTTAGCTAGATTTTTTGTTGTTGTTAAAGCCACACTAACTACTGTATTTTTACCTTTTATATGTAAAGCTTGGCAATAGCTCTCAGTGTATAATTTATTTGTTGGGTTTTTTATAAAACAAAG